AGAGAGAGAGAGAGAGAGAGAGAGAGAGAGAGAGAGAGAGAGAGAGAGAGAAAGAAATAGAAGGAAAAGGGATAGTGCGTGCACGTATGTACATTTTAGTATGTGTGTAGGGGGGAGAGGGTGCACATTACTTCCATGGTGATGTGTGGGTTTCGGAAATTGTGTTGGTGTGGTGGAGTTTAGTGCATTTTGAGTAAGGGATGCAGTTGTAAAATAATTTTCGTCAGTCAAATAATCGGAACAACGTGTCCTTATCTGTGGATCCTGAGCCTCTTCCAAATATTTATCAATATTGCACAATGCGAATCCTGCTTCAAAGTGGCCTGCATTTTCAAACAATTGCCCTATCCTATTATTCTTATTCCGATCATTTCCGTTTATCTCTTTAAAATGTAGGTGTTGTTATGCCCTCAACGACAATAAAACGATCATTAAATGGACGGGGTTTGGATACAACGTTGCGGCAGAAAGATAGATATTAACGATGAAAATTCTTCCCAGACAGGACACGATCCCATGTCTTCTACGTAAGGGAACGAAGCGCCTTTATAACCGTGGCATCACAGATGCTTGCTCATTTGTGTCGGTCATCTTACCCTTTGACACACACACACACACACACACACACACACACACACACACACACACACACAGCGCGTACAAATTCAAAACTACACACACACGCACGGTCTGTCTGTGCGTGTGTCAGTCTGTCAGCCAGTCCAAAGTATGACAGTGTGGAATATGGACAACATACCAGTAGGATAATGTAACTAAGGTCTCACGACCATGTAAAATTATGCTTTTTTTTTGTTGTTGTTTACCTCGGTTGCCATTTTGTGTGCTTTTGCGACAACGAATTCATCAACGACTTTGTTAATGTCAACGTTGTGCAGTAAATCGCTTTCAATTGAAAGAAGTGCTAGCATCCCTAGCCTCTGCTGAGACATGGTTGAACGCGTCTTTAATGCGTTTCAATTGCGAAAATGAACCTTCGCCAGTGCAGTTAGTTGACATTAGAGACAGGTACATCCGCAATGCTATCTCGCTGTTTGGAAAAACTGAGTGGACACCAGTGGTATGCAAGAGTTTGAAAAAGGTCTGAGCGCTTCCAGTTGCATTATCCGGATATACTTGCTCTTTCACCGATCATAGGCACTGTCTCATTTCCTTTGGAAAGTTAGGAGAGAGGTCATGTGGATAGACATTGAAGTATACTCTGTTAAAACACCAAACCTCTGCACTGCTGTTGAATAGGCGTCAATTCGCCGGCATAGGGAACTTTTCAGTTGGTCCATGATAACCAAGAATGTATTCACTTTGAATTTCTCCTGACCCGATATTTCATCCATCACACTTGCGGCATCTCCGTCATCTACCGTTTTCCTGTGTATACGTGCTCTCCGACTGTCTGATTTATATATGCTGCTTCCACATCGGTCACTTGCCTTGAAATGGTAATACTCAAACTTTTCTCGACTCTTATCTATATGTGTCTAAACTTTTTAACAATCCAATGGCCGGGCTTAGTTCAATAGTTGAACTTGGTAGCAGTTTACTGCAGCAATTGAAACGATGTAAATGTCATTCCAAAGTTCACACATGAAAACAACTTCAATGGTTTCCATATAACTTGCAAGAGCGCCAGCTTCGTGCTTCGTGAGACCATTCAGGTCAATATCTTCTGCAATCTCTTGTAGAGCACTTTGGAATTGTTTGTAGCCCCTGAAGACTGCTTCTGTCGCATCAGCTCGGGCAGACCACCTGGTATCCGATGGGTGTTTTGGGACAAGACATTCAGGATTTTCCTCAAAGTGTCGTAATAAAATATTCCGATGATGAGTTGATGCAACAAAAAATGAATACAAGCGCTGCAGGAACTGAAAGAAAGACACAGCTTCCACACAGCAATCTACAGCTGATTGACCAACTAAATTTAGAGAGTGGCCTGCGAACGGAATATAATTCCCAAGATTATTTTTATTTTTCAAAATTTTCTGCATTCCAGTGTATTTACCAGACATGTTACTAGCATTGTCGTATGTCTGGCCACAACAATTCTCAAAGTTGATGCCTTGCCCCTCTAGGTATTGAAGCAACGTATCTGCTAGATTCTGTCATGTGTGGCTCGAGATGTTGATGACTGTCAAAAAGCGCCCCTCGGGCTGGTGATCTACCTTATTGACATACCGTAAAACAGTGATTAACTGATCAGAATGCGTGACATCTGGAGTAGAATCTACGGAGACTGAAAAGTACCTTGCCTTAGAAATTTCCTCCTTGATGAGGCCAAGAACATGCTTGCCTAACAAGTTAATCAATTCTTCACATGTTGTTTTTGACAGGTATGAAGTGTGTCCACGTCCTTGGTTGGCATGGGTTTTGATATGCTGAGATAAAAATAGATCAAACTGCCCAATTAGTTCTAAAATACCCAGGTAGTTCCCATTGTCCTTGGACCCAACGATTTCATTACTGCCTCAAAAAGCCAGCCCTCTCTCACAAAGGAAAATGATTGTCTTAATACAACGTAACAAAATGTTTTTCCGGTATTTTTGTTGTTCTAGTAAGTTTTGGTGTAACCTCTCGTTAACTCGCCCAGCAGCAACACTACGTTGACATAAAGTCAAGACTGAGTTTATAATATGTTTGGGACCTGTTTCATGTGTTTTTAAATAGTTGGTCATATTCTTCCAATCTGTAAACCCCTGACCAGAAAGATGTAGGCTACACGGTCTGGCAAAAACAAAAAGCAAGGGAAACAGAAAACACAGGCTTTGCCTGGAGAATATACGAATCAGTCATGATCAACTACTTCTCCATTTGATAAAACATGTTTGAATGCACAGTTATTTAGATATCGATTCACGCTAGAGAAGTCTCGTTTTGTGTCTGGATAGTCACTTGCCAAATTCCGAAACTGGTTTGCTCCGCGAGTTATGCACATTTCAAGCACATGGTCCTTTATATCACCTAGAAGCCCTACATCATTTGCTATTGTTCTTGAAGTATTATCAGTTTCGACTGTTTTAGCATCAGCTAGCTCAGCTTCAGCAGTAGGCTCTTCTTGGTTGCTGTCGATTTGAGATGAAGAAGCTTCACCGTCAGCTACCCCAGCTCCAATAGTACTAGCAGTAGGCTCTTCTTGTTGTCGATTTGAGATGAAGAAGCTTCGCTACTACTTTTCTCTTTAACATGAAAAATTGAAGTCAGTTTTGTTAATCTTTTCAGTTCTCTCCTTCTTTAATTTTCTTCTTCTCCAACTCCTTCGCTCGTTCCCATCCACTCTTTCGTTTTGACATTTCAAGACACTAATCCTAGTAGACGCTGAGGATAAACATGCACAAGAAGAGTACATTATGAAGAAACGTGGTATGGCCTATGTTGTGGTAGTGGTGGTGATGCTGCTGCTGTTATTGCTGCTATTGTTGTTGTTGTTGTTTATTTGTTGTTGTTTTTGTTTGTTGTTGTTGTTGTTTTTTGCTGCTGCATTGGTTTGCATTATATTATGTTGATTCTGGTCTCTATAAGCATCCTCAATATTGTATATTATTGTAAAGTACTAGTTTGTACTACTGACTGAGATCAGAATGCGGTCATATTGCATGGCCACTGTCAAAATAAAACATCCAGTTGCAGCCAAAGCTGCAGTCTAAAAGACCTTCTCCCAAACATACACGAACTCTCCTCCTGTCTCCCCCCCCCTCCCCTGCCCCAAATCCCACCAACTCTCACTTTCTCGTTGTGTTTCTTTGTTTTCCTGTTAGTACGAAGAAACATTTGTTAGCGTAATTTAACACCTAGTTATACCGACATATGAATAGCTTGGATTTTTACATTTAAAAAAATAAAAAATTTCTTCGCTTGTTTGTTTTTTGTTCTGTTCTCTGTTGTATTAATACACTCATGAATTGCTTCAGCCTTGAATGGCAATGATGGCATTGAAGCCTTATATCCGGGCCTAGCCTGCCTACCCCTTATCGAGGAAGTGGACTCAACCAATCCGCTAAGGGCCATCAAATCCTAGCAAGTAATAGATTGGGGGG